GTGTGTGTGTGTGTGTGTGTGTGTGTGTGTGTGTGTATATATATATATATATATATATATATATATATATATATATATATATATATATTGCTAAAATAGGTGACAATGTAGGTTTTTGGAGGCTACTCCAGAGGATACTTAAGAATTTTTAACTCCAGAAATATAGCAAAAAAAAGTCAAAAGATATAGATTATGTAAACAACTTTACAATTACTGCAGTGATGCTTGTTTGTTTTTTAATGTTCACTTTGATCTGCTCTGTCCTATTACAGTTGGTCCTTGAACAACACGGGTATGAACTGTGCCAGTCCATGCATATGAGGGTTTTCTCCAATGAATACTGTAAATGCATTTTCCTCATGATTTTCTTAATAACATTTTCTTTCCTCTAGCTTACGTTATTGTAAGAATACAGTATATGATACATATAACTTACAAAATATGTGTTAATAGACTATTTATGTTACAGGTTAGCAGGTTATTAGTCGTTAAGATTTTAGGGAGTCAAGTTATATGCAGATTTTCAACTGTCAAAAGTTATATGCAGATTTTCAACTGTGTGGTGAGTTAGTGCCCATAACCACTGCATTGTTCAAGGGTAAGCCGTAATTGGTGCTTTATTTTATAGTAGCAATAACAAAAATCATAGTAAATAACAATATCTAACAGTTACTGAGAGTTTACTATGTCTGAGGCATGAGTCTAAGCATGTTGCAGGTAGCAGCACAACAACCTTGTCAACAAGAGTACTATTGTTATCCTCACTTTACAGATTTAAAAAGTGAGGCACAAAGAGGTTAAGTAAGTTATCCAAAGTCACACAGCTTTAAAGCAGTGAAACCAAGTTTGCCAGCCAGTCAGTGTAGTTCCAGACCCCACGCTGAATCATTATGCTTTATTATTGGTAGTATTAAATGTGTTCACCAAGTTGGAATTTTTAGAGGGCTGGCAGAAAAGCACCAAAAAATCTCGTTTCTTAGAATGTATTCATGCATTTCTCTATTCAAACAAATTCCTGGTGTTTCAACTTGCATGTTTAAGTGTTGACCAACTTTAAATATTTCAAATTTATTCATTTCTACTCTTTGCTACCTACCTAAAGAACATATCTATATCTGTATCTATATCTATAGATATAGATATCTATCTATATCTATATCTATATCTATATATATATATATATGAAATTAGGAGTGTTTGGAAATAAAAATTAGTGTATATGATCAGAAATTTAGGATTTTTTTTGTAAATCAGAGAAAATGAAAAATTAAATTTCTAGAAAAAGATATATACAGAAAAGGAATCAGAATCATTATTATAGAGCTTCAAAAAAATGAAGGAAAGAAAGAAAAAAAAGGGCAAGGAGATGGACTGGGAAAAATAAAACGTGACAAAGCAACAAAATAGAAACAAGAAAAATATAGAAGGGGCAATATTTACACAGAAATTTCCATGATTTTTAGTAACTAAAAACCAGATATGTAAAACATGAGAGAAGACAGAGTTGAGTCTTTCCCATAGCTGGCTGCTGAAGTAAAGGCTGCAATGTTTCTTCATTATGACAATTGACCGGCCAGATAAATTATGATTCAGTAAGTTACAGGTGTGGGAAATGAAGTGGAAATGTACAAGGGACTCAGCAAACTGTAAAACTGCATCGGCTTTATCAGTGGACTCGTGTTGAGTCCATCTAGTTGATGAACGTCCTTATCAGCCAGCAAATATAAATGACTTATGGGAACAATATTTCAGGGCATAATGACACAGCTATATCTAGTATTCTTCTCAGATCTGGGTTATTAAATATTAAATATCAAAGCTGTAAATTATAGTAGCAGCTTTATATAACTAAATTAAATTCAAACAAAACCTAATTTCCTTAATCATTGGCTGTAATCCTCCAGGAACATATGCTATTAACTCAACTACAAATGACACAGAAATTGTATGACTTCAGTTAAGTCATTTGATATCAAATTCTAATCCAGGGCAGACTTCTCTGTAAATCTCCTACAGGGATTTTAATACTTCTACAATCATATTGGCTTTTACAGAGTAACTAATCTTTTCATACTCTTATTTCTCACTCCTTTATCCAATTTCTTCTTATTTTTTTCCTCGCTCTCTCTTTTTTTTTCTCTCAGAGCATATTCTAGGTCATTTTTTTTTAAAACAGACTTCCCATGGAATTAAAAAAAATTATCCAAAATTATCACCAGAGTTATCATAACCGGAGATTGTGCACAAAGAACTAATTAAACTTAACTGGGAGAATTTTTAGATCCAATTAACTGTCTATGGCCATGCATGTCAGTGCAAACAGAAAACAGTAAAAAAATGATCAGTATAATTTGGCCCATTGTCCCCATGGCCAAATGTTTATCATCGAGTTTGTTCAATAATGAAGTGCATTTTGTCTATCGTAATTATGAACAAATGGCTTAAGTGAATTTATTTTGTGTTCTTCTTGAACAAATGTTAGTCATGTTTTGAATAGTCCATTATAAGTATAGGCTAAAAAATATGATTAAGAATCTAAAATTGCTTAAAGTAAAAAAGTTTGAAAGGGAGGGAAGAGTTAGTTTATATTATGGGGATATATACACCACCATAAGGAGATGAGAGTCCTGGCAAAAATGGGTGCCCGGGAAGTTTGGACTTCTGTTCATAACCAAGGTAAATGGTGGTGTGAAGCATGGGGAGGTCGGACAGGAAGGGATCAGGAGGAATAACTTCTACTTTTCTCTTCTCCCTCCTGCTGTTACCTCACATATATACATCTACGATTTACATAAATCTATATGTATGCATCTCTTTCTATACATAGAAATCCTACACTCATATATATTTATATATGCATGTATATATGTATAAGTCAACTTTGTTCTATGTTTAAAGTAAACATATATATCAGTGTTTTCTGTAGTTACTATGGACATCTGGGGTGGTTGATCGTCACACGAGGGCATGGACTTTGAACTTGTGCTTCTGCTAGGGTTCCTCCACTGCCTAACTGTGAACGTCCCCGAAGGCCAAGTTTTCAACCCTCTACTCTTTCTCCTTAACATTCTATTCTCAAAATTCAATGCTAGTCTGTATGCTGCTGTGGGTTCTGACCTCAAGGCACAAATCAGAATTCACAGAGACAGTGTTTGATTAGGAGTACAGAACTTAAAATGAGGTCTCTCTTTTGCTATGAAAAGATGTAGACTAAAAAATGAAAGAGACTCACTTTTGCCTTTTTTTGTTTAACAATGAAGCAACAGAAACAAAACAAACAGAAAAGATAAAAGAGGCAGGTGGTCCATCAAACTAGCAGTAAAAGGTCTACATTACATGCCTAACACTTTGTTTGCTCTGTAATCATAAACAATCCTTGACCTAACGTGGTTTAAGACATAAGCAATTCATATGTTCCTAGGTTTCTCCAGCCTGTGGCTCTCCATCTTGTAGATTAAGTCAGCAAAAGAGCCTGTTCTTAAGTCCCTGAGGTCAGGTGGTTGCCCTGAATATAACTGCTAGTCCCTCTGCCCTGTTTGAGGGTCAGTGTGCTTGTGACAGATGATCAGCTCTGGAAAGGCCAGGGTTGCAGTTTCGGAGCTCTTGCTCTGGTGACTCACTCAGTGGTGTTGATCCACCATTGGTGCTGCCCTCTGGGGCATCGTTAGGGCCACATTGCACTTAGAGCTCCATCACCACATGCCTTTGGCTCTGGTTCTCTTCTAAGACAGTAGGAAAACGCCTTTCCCTGCTCACACCCTACATTTACAGGGCATGCCCAGGGTGGAGAGGTTCTCTTCCCTGGTGATCACTGGCTGTAATACTCATCCGAAGTGTGTTGGTAACTCAGGACTGGAGGGGTTATAGAGCAGCCTCACAGAGCACATTTTTCCTCACCTGCTTAGGCTGACTGCGTTTGATTCACGGAGCCAGCATCCTTCTTCAGTTTTGGTAAACAATTTCTCTCAAGTGCCCTCCTTGCAGTGGCCCTACTATACTTTATCTCCCATTTTCACTCAGCCCCCATCAGTGTACATCCCTGCTGTGGACGGAATTCAAGCTTTTTGGGACTTGTGGGTCCCACAGAAACCTAGAGCATGGCTAGGTCTAGTTTGAAATGTGCAGAATAGGAGGTAGGGGTGGTAAGGGAAGAATAAACAGCCTCTCTCTCTGGGAAGGCAGGAGAGCAAGTTACAGTAGCTGCATAAGAGGTGGGTTTGGGAGTGCGTGTGAGAGGCTGAGGGGTAGAGGGGGAATTTGAAGAGTGGGGGGAAGCGAAATGTCATCCCTCTTCCATGCTAGCATGTCCAAGCCTCCATCCTGACTGCAATGTCGCTTGATAGGCTTATGTGGTCAGCCATACTGACTTCCATTTATTATAATCATTTTTTAGCTAATTCCATTAAGGACATTTTCATCTATGACTACATTTTCAACTCTTTGTAATTTTAGAAAATGGAAAACATTGTCTTGTATGCCCTTGACTCAAAATTGGATTGAATTGATTCATAATAGACTATATTTTTTTAAGTTTCTTGAAGTTTTGGAAAACATACCACTATCTATTAACCTATTTCCTACTGTTTCTATTCATCATTCATCACTCTTTTTACCACCACAATATTGGGGCTTTGTTGATGTTAGGAGAACATTACCTTGATAGAAGTCAATAACTTAGCAGCAGCTGTGTTAATATATGATTTTTCTTAAGGTTTTATGGGAAACAAAGGCAGCATTGGTATAATTGTTGAATCTTGGGCTTGTTAAAAAGTTCAATTTTTTTTCCTGTACTGGCACTTTTGAAAAGATGAGGCAATAAGAATTGCAGTCAATTTCATGCTCAATACAAAATATTGAGGTGAAAAGTTCTGTACCAGAGACTTCAAAAAAATACATATATACACATATATAACACACACACACACACACACACACACACTCACACATGGCTCATTTTAAAGGTATAAAGCTTACCTCTTCCATTAGATAATTTGGAGAGTCCAAATAGCTTCAGCCATTGCTAGGAAGTACACAATTTTCTGAAGAAAGTTACTCTTCCAACCACAACTGCTGTTCAATGAAAAGGAAAGATGCTATGGTCATGGTATTTGTGCAATATTTCTACATGATCAATTTTTGATTCAGAAAGAGGAAAAATACCCTTTACTTTCCCCCAAGGAAAGTCTGTATCAATCTGCTAAATGAGTCAAACGTTATATCTATTTGGGAGTTTAGAAATTGTTTCACAGAAAAAAAAATGTATTGCTTTTATTTATAGCTTCATAGGTCCTCTCCAAAATCCATGAATGCAGTACAGTGAAAAATTGAAACACCTAGTTTTGTTAACAAACCACCCTTTGTTTGGCTTTTCTTTAGGGTTTACAGCATAAAGGTGTTGTATTAACACTGAAGCTATTTCAAAAGCTGTGTGCAACTTTGTAAAAAAAAAAAAATAGGCTTACCTAAAGAATGAAAACCACCTCCTTAACAACATAGGGACCTTGCAACAAGTTAGGGCTCTACAAGTTGGTTGTGTAGTCTGATTTAAAACACTCCCCTCCACACACACACACACACACACACACACACACACACACACACACACACACACAGAGTCTTTGCTAGTCTAGTTTATCTTCTAAGCATACAGTGATTGCAAAATCCTCAGACCTGAAGCAACTCTTCTACAACCCAGCTGGTAGCACAATTTCAAGATGTCAGGTTAACTAGGCCATGGAATCTGCTACCCCTGCTGATAGCCAAAGATGATAAGTGAAAAGGGGTACACTTTCCCAAGTCAGGGAGAAGTAACCTCCAGTTAAGTCCATATAAGTAAGTAGCTGGGATTTTTGTTAGAACTCAGGTAGGGCTTTGGTCACTGTATTGGTCAGCTCAAGTTGCCAAGACAAGACACCACATACTGGGTGGCTTAAACAACAGACATTTATTTTCTCACAGTGCTGGAGACTGGAATCCCAAGATAAAGGTGCCCCTAGGATTGGTTTTTAGTGAGACCCCTCTTCCTGGCTTGTGATGGCCACCTCCTTAGTCCTCAATGGCCTTTCCTCTGCATGTGCAGATTGAGAGAGAAATCTCTGGTATCTTTTCCTCTTCTTTTAGGGAAACCAGTCCAATAGGATAAGGGTCCTACCCTTAGGACCTCGTTTAACCCTAAGTATCTCCTTAAAAGCCCTATCTCTAAGCACAGCCACATTGGGGGTTAGGGCTTTAATATATGAATTTTGAAGGGACACAATTCAGTCCATAACATTCTACCCTCATAGTACTTAAGTTATGAGATATCAAGGAGAAGAGTAAATATTGTTCAAGGACTTTGTGTCTTCTTATGGGAAGAAGGTTGGTGTGTTTTTGGTTGTACACAGGATAGTTGTTTCATGTTAGGAAGAAGGATAACCTTGTTATTTGCCTTAGTTGGTGATTAAATATGGCTGAAGGAGACATGTATTGGTCACAAGTTGATAAGGGGTGGACTTATAATGATTGCTTTTATGTGTCAACTTGATTGGGCTACAGGATGCCCAGGTAATTTGGTCAAACATTATTGTGGGTTTTTCTGTGAGAGTATTTTTGGATGAGATCGGTATTCAAACTGTTATTCACTTTATTCAAGTAAAGCAGACTGCCTTCCATCATGTGGGTGGGCCTCACCAAATCATTTGAAGGGCTGAAAGGCTGACCCTCCCTGGAGTAAGAGAGAATTCTCCTGCCTGGTGGCCTTCAAACTGGGACGTCTGCTCTTCCTGGTTCTACAGCAGCCTGCCATTCTTCAGACTCCAACTGGGTCATGGCCTCTGCAGATACTGGACTTGCCAGCCTCCAAAACCACATGAACCAATTCTTTATGATAAATCTCTATATATTCTGTTCTTTTGGAGAATGCTGCACTTCAAAGGCCAGCTATCTCCCACTTGTCACTTAATCATGTGTACACATATTTATTGTAAATGTTTCCTGTGTAGTCATGTTTCTATTTTATTGTTGCAAAATCTAGGAATCAGAAAATCCCAGTCACAGCTCCTACAGTTTCCAGCCTCCTAATTTGAGTCAGAAACTTGGGTGATCACAAAATATTCAAATGACTACAAAATATATGTCCTAAATTCTCTAACTTCCTAGCTGCATGACTTAGGATGAATCATGCATCCACTCCGAAATCCAGTTCTGCATTTAGAAATGTGGATAAATATACTTCCCCTTTCTACCTCATGGGATCAATTTAGAAATGCATAAGATGACACATGTAAACGTTTTTCTAAAGATACAGAGTGTCATCATATGGTGGGGTTTATTACTATTACTGCATAATATGTATACACATTTGTTACTGCGAGTTTATCTTGAATTAAAAATTCTCAGATCTTAAGAAACAGATGTTATCATGACACATCTTTGGCTAAATTGGGGGTATAACTAAGTTGCTCAAGTGCTGTAGCTACTACTGTCCCCACCTACTGCCCTGACACAAACCCCAAATTTACCAAGGAGGCACTTTCCCACTGAGCTTAGGAGGAGCTTTAGAATTCTTCTCATGCCTTGTGTGCTTAGCAGCCACTACCAGTGGACCTGAGTAGGCACACAAGTTGATACCTTGTTGTCATCTCTGAATTAGTGACTGATCGATCAGGTCTGTGGGCCACCCTGTTCTGTCAAAGCATGTCTAGATTACTGTTAATTTACAAAATACAGCATGGACCTGTGAATGGGGTGAAGAGCATGTGTCTAATGCTAACTGCTGCATTTAGTAATAGGAACCATAACGTCTTCTTCATTAGCTCCACAGCATAACCCTCAGCATTTTAAACCTTTGTGGTCAGAAATACAGACATGTCTGCTCTCCTCTGCAAATTTCCTTGCAAATTCTGCAGTTCATGGGAGTTGTCTTTGCAGAAGGGAGTTTCTTGAAAGGATACAAGAAACCAGACAGACAGTGTGCCAAGAGAAGAAAACACGCTAAATTATCCACCTTCCTCTTATCTACTACCCCTTTCTCACCTTCCTCCCCTACGATAGGCACAACTAGTCCTTCTGGGAATATTTTCTCAGTCCTTCTTCAGATTACATAGAACAAACCCGAGTTCTGTGATTAAAGTAAGCAGAAGGTTTTATGTTTCTTTTGTCACTGAGTCATAGAAAAGAAACAAAACAAAGCACGTTTGGCTCAATCAAAATCTAGCCAATCACATAGGTTTATTAAACATAGCATTGACCGAAAGAAAATATGAAGTCCTTGCCCAGGAAGGGTGGATGCCAAGAACAGAGTGATTTTCTGACTTTGTCTTTGAAATCTATAAATTCTATTCTTTGCACAAGTCACTACGTTCCTGAATAGCTGTTGATATTAAACATTGGGGGAAACTTGCAAATGGACAATGAAATGCATTTGGGATTTCCAGATGTTAGCTAGCCACACTCCATGAGAATGCTACTCACATCTGTTTTTTACCTCCAGAGTACATAAAACACTTTATTTTCTCTCCTATTATTCGATCTCCTTATTTTTGTGGCCAAGTATATATTGGATGCAAAAACTTTTTCAGACCAAAACTTGGCATGTGAACTCTTGATTTGGCCGCATTTGGGTTACCACCAATTTGCAAAATAAAGTATGAATAGTAATCCAGCTGTAAGAGTGCAAAGTAAAATAAATCTCTACTTTACCATCTTATCAGGGAATATAAATCAATCTGGCACATACGTCAACCTTAATTTCTGTGTAAAAGTTCCAGATGTAGTTATGATTCTATTTTATAAATATAACCAGCATGTTACATATAATGAGAATTAAAGACCCCATGGATCTCATGAATGGCCCTTTCCTCATAAACACAACCTAAGCCCAGAGCCGTCGAATTCGATTGCATTCCCTTGACAATGTTGCCTCTGTACTGATTTTCTTCATCTCTTTCTTCCTGCCCTTTACTCAACTCAAGTTCTTTCCCCTCTCCTTATTTTGTGCCATGTACATGCCTCCTCCATATCTATGGATGATAGGTTAGCCGTTAGGGGAGTGATCAGAACCCAAAAGGGAACTGTTTTTAGGACATTTATCTGTAGGAGCAATTTGGAATGTTGACCTCCACCATTTTTTTGTATCTCAAAGTAGGCATCGATATTAAACTCTTGCTATGGGTTTTCAAAGTGGAGTCAGTCATATCTGACCCCTGCTGCTACTCTGCCTTCCTAGCCCCAGGGCAGCACCTGCTCTCTGTCCACTGTGTGCAACTGTGTGCAGTCCTTGCATAAACAGGCCAGACCACCTAGGATTTTCAGCCACAGTCAAACTTAAGAAAAAAACAACAACCAACCAAACAAACAAACAAAACAACCCTAAACACTGGCTCTCATTTATTATGTACCATTTATGATAATATAGGCACACTACCTTCTTTAGTGCCACAACAGCCTGTTAGAACAGTATTCTTATGACTGAGGAAAGAGAGGTTTTGAGAGATTAATGTACTTGCCTGTAGTTACAGTTAGGTTGGTCTGATGCCAAAGCCCATGCCTTCACTGTGAGCTGCTGCTCTCACAGCCATACTGCATGCTGGAAGCAATCTATCCTAACCCTTCCTCCCAGTTCTGCAATCCAGCTATCTCCTTTCCTTGGTGTGTTTCATCCCTTAGTGCTTTGCGATCCTGCATCCCAACAACCCCAGTTCCCCAGGCTGCATTCCCCTGGCACCCCACTGAGCTTCTCCTCTCTTGTAAATGTCATCCCCCATTAAAGTCATTGTCGCCTGGGTTTAATGTCCTCTGCTTCTCTTAACTCACCAGGCATTTCCTTTATTTACTCAGAAGCTTGACACATGGATCAGTCTATTTTTCTACCAAATTTAGTTTTAAGACATTTTTTATTTCCCATTGTCTCTATCCTGATAGAGACATCAAATTCTGTACTGCCTTTATTTTCTTCCAGTTTGCTGGCGTCCTCCATCTCCCTTTTTGCCCTACGCATCACAGACTTTATAGCTGATATCTGAACAGTTATCAGCCATCCTTGGTTCCCTTAGATCTCCACAATCTTCCAACTCTGCCTGCGAAAACTGAAC